TTCGGGTCAGCCTAAAAAACGTTATTTCTCGTTCAATATTAATTGGAATTAAACAAAAATTTGTGGGTATATACACATTTACATTCCGAACAACTCTACTTTGACACAAAATACAAGTGTCTTAGTAAAAATAAAAGTTATTGACGAAAAACTATTTTACGATTTTCGGATCAAACCCGAATCCGACCCGACCCGACCCGAACAGAGCTTTAGCTAAAATTGTTAAAGTTTGAGTAAGTAGATCTTTTGAATTAATATATTACTAATTAAATAAGGGCTCCTTATTATAAAAAAGTTAACTAAGCTACTTTTTTAAAAAATTTATGAAATTTGAATATGTTATAATTAAATACAAAATGATAAATATATACAAAAAATTTAAAAATACGAATATATTTTTTCAAAATCAAAAAATGCAACCAGCTTTCCTGATCAATTGTGACGATTCTTACGCGCTTTTTTGATACCATTTTAATGCGATGTCAAGATCTATTTGAATTCCAAATTCTTATTGGTAACATTCAGCTAATTTGAATTTAAAAATATTCAACCCAGATTCAGCTAATCTTAAATACCATTTAAATGCTTTTTTTCTCATTTCTATTTGTCCCATTGCCTTGAAAATAGCATTATGCAAGAAAATGTTGAGCATATAGAGTTTCAAAATTTTCTGACTCTGCTGATTTTTGGAAATACAAAAATGCTTTCTGTAAATCTATAAGTTCTTTGCTTGATAATAACATTTCAAGTTCAACCACTTTAATATTTTATCATGTTATAAATCTAAAAAGAATTTAAAAGCTTTTTTTATCTCATTGTATTTTGATGACACCACCGAGATTATTTGTCCATTAGCTTAACCACTTTCTGTTGATTTCAAAAACAACTCGAATGCTTTTTTATCCTATTCCTATTCCAAGCTTATATTGTCCACTAGCATTTTCCATCTGCTGATTTCAAATACCACTCAAATGCTTCTTCATCGCTTTGAGACCCTGCACCATTTTGATAACGGAAACCAAGAACGCACTGTATTTAAGCATCTCCGTTTCAGCTAACTTCAACTATTTCACTATCTTTTTTCAAATTGTTTTATTTTCGGAAGAAAGCATTTGTCATGAAGTTTTGAATCATCTAATTCATCGTTATCTTGTAGAAGCAAAATGATATACGTATCTTATTATGTTATCAAGTGTTAAAGACGTTAACGTTAAGTCCGTTATTATCGATATGTTATTATCGATATGCATACGTATAACGATAAAGTCCGGTTTAACCGTTAGAAAATTATGTACGTACAGTATTAATACATGTATAATGCACCAGTTTTCACTTTATGTATCAGTCCTCTATACGTGTTCAGTCACAGAGTTATTAACGTTAACTTTAGTTCATTTAAGATTTTATATCGATATTAATACGAACAATCAACAATTTACATTTATCATACTTTAATAATAAATAAATACGATTAAGCTAAAATTGCACTTATTATAAAAGTTAAAATCCATATTATTTTAGATCCATCATCAGCCACCAAAAACCAAGAAATCGATGCTCCTGATACTATAGGAGCTGATGTTGAGCCAATACCCGAAGATGTTACACTGCTAAATCCTTTTTCTGTAGGAGTTGATGTTGAGTCAATATCCGGAGATGTTACACTGCTAAATCCTTTTTCTGTAGGATTTGTTGTAGGAATAATTTTGGTAGGATTAGTTTTGGTAGGATTAGTTTTGGTAGGAGTAGGTTTGGTAGGATTAGTTTTGGTCGGAGTAAGTTTGGTTGTAGGCGCTGAATGTGTATGCGTTTCTGGTTGGTTCCTAATAAATGAGTTTGGCAAATTAATTTTATTTTTAAATAATACTGAAAATGAAGAATAATAATTACGTTGCTTTAGCAGGAAAAGCATCAATTATCAGCATAGTACATTGTAACATAACGATAACAAAAAATAAGAAAAATAGATTTTGTATTTTGAAGATAAGCATTTTTTGTTGGTTTTACGTATAAAAGTTTATAAAGAGAACTAACCGTAAGCATTTAATTTTCTCAAAATACCTGTATTTATAGAAATTTAGTTGCAGACATACATAAGATTCTATATATTAAAGAATTGTTTTTTGTGCATGCTTGAGGTTCACATATTTCTACTGTCCTGGCGTGTCATTGGAAACTTTGTATGGATGATTAGAAATTTCTGCATCAATATACATGTACCGATAAACTTGCAAGATATCTTTATACTCTCTCCAGATTAGTATTAGTATTACGTGAACTTATTTTTAGATTATATACGTACAACTTCACGCGTTTACTAATTTCGATTAGACACAGGTGCATCCATCGCTAATTGGATGAAATTGATCACGTAATGTTGCATAAACCAATACATAAGGATACACAAATTTTTGATTTATCCGGCAAAACAAATCTGACATAAGAAATAAAAAATGTGAAAATACAGGAACCCTATACTTAAATCTATCTTGGTACACTAAAATAAAATGTTGGGGAGGCAATTTCACATATAATTCTGATCTCCATTCTAACCCTTAATATTACAGTAGAATTTTCCATATACAATATGGTGTGATGTGATCAATTTCATCCAATTATGTAGTGATAGATTAACCTGAGTCCAATCAGAACTTTGGGAAAATCTGACAACTTCACAGATAATGATAAATACATGTATTCGTAACAGTACGGTAATGTTGAATTTTAGAAATTCGATTCTCATGCAATTTTCGTGCGTTTGCATGACGATAAATTATTTTTTTAACATTCAGCACATGTACGATCTCCTTCCTAATATATTTGAGATCATTGATCGATACTCATATAAAAATCATTAACCTTGTAAAATTTTACTATGTCAATTATATTTTTCCACTTTTTCACTAGTTGTTGATTAATTAATAATTTTAATAGAATCAATAAATAAATACAAATTCGAAAAATTATTATTACCTCAATATTTTAATGAGACAATCAAGACAATTATATTTTGACTTCTAATTAAAATGTATAGCATAAAATTTTAGATAATACGTATGTACGTACCTTTTACTAATAATTTGGCATATCGATATCAATAAAAATCAAACTAAAATTTTGTTAATTCCGGAATGGTCTGATCAACGTCCAGACCATTTAAGAAATCTGATGTGGTCTGGAACATTTTGGAATAACATTAAATTAAATATATAGTTAAGCTAGAATACCCTGTAATAATAATTTATTATTGATTTTTGCGGGACAGTTCATAGCGCTCAACTGGCAATGGGTGATATTGTCAAACGAAAGCTAAATTCAGTGTGAATCAACATACATGTATAATGCATTATCTTTTTTTGCTAGTGTTGATCATTGTACTTGATTAAATCTTACAATTATAAACATTTGCTGAAATAATTATTAGAAAAACTAACATCGTGCAATGAATACCAGTACATGATCACGTAAGATTGGTAACAAAAGAAAGATTGGTAATGAAAGAAAGAAGTTGAGAGCATGATCATGCATAATAAAGAAAGATGGATAACACACAATCTCTTTCATTACCAATCTTTCTTTTATTACGTGTGGTTGTGCTCTCAACTTCTTTCTTTTATTACCAATCTTTCTTTACACAGTCATGCTCTCAACTTCATTATCAATCTTTCTTTTATTATGCAGTTGTGCTCTCAACTTCTTTCTTTCATTACCAATTTTCCTTTTATTACATGGCCATGTTTCCAACTTTTTTTTGTTACTAATCTTACATGGTCATGTACTGGTTTCATTCATTGCATGATGTTAGTTTTCTAATAATTATTTCAGCAAATGTTTATAATAATTCTAAGATTTAATTAAGTACAATAATCAACATTATGGTGCATAAAGTCTAAAATCATCAAACATTTGTATTTAATAAAATGTATAAACTTAGTAAATACAAAATTTAATCTGTGAATATGATAGAATAGACCTTTTCTGAGTATATTCACAGATTAAATTTTGTATTTATTTCTTAGTAAAGAAGTTTATTCATTTTATAAAATACAAACATTTGATGACTTTAGATTTTATGCACTATAGCAAAAAAAAAATAATGCATTATACATGTATATTGATTCGCACCGAATTTAGCTTTCATTTGACAATATCACCCATTGCCGTCGAGCGCTACGAACTGTCCCACGAAAATCAATAATAAATCATTATTACAGGGTATTCTAGCTTAACTAATTTAATGTTATTCCAAAATAGTCCAGACCACATCAGATTTCTCAAATGGTCTGGATGTTGATCAGACCATACCGGAATGGTCCAAATTCGGATTTGGTCCAGAACAAATACGTATAAACAAAATATTTTTTTCTCACAAAAGTATAATTCTAAGTATATATGAACGTGATCATTGCTGCAAAAAAACTTATTGTTATAGAGGTAAAATGTCTATTAAAGCCTTTTTAAATTTAATCTACATACAAGTCAACCTCCTGTCAAACAATTTTAAAGAATTCAGTTTATGCAGGCTTGCTATAACTGTTTCGGAACCAACTTCAATTTGTCGAGGCGGGTTTACTATAACTGCTTCTAGAACAAAATTCGGTTTACACAGATTTTAATTGGTTTTAATGGGGGTTGACATTACTTTTTTTGTTAGAAGATATGAAAATATTTTTTGAGTCATCAATACTCGAGCCAAATTGACTTACCTTTACCTGTATCTCGCCATTTTTTTCGGCGTTCCGTTTCTTTTCAGTGCCGTGCCGTATAAGATGAAAAACCAGGTTGTGTCCGAGTTAGGGGATTCTTTTTGGTTGAAACGCTCAGAAAAAAATCATGAAAGAGTTAGCGTATTGCAATAAATCATTTGATATGGATAACACCAAAAATGTATGTGCCACACAAAGCCGGCCATTCAAAGATGACTCGCCAATTTTTGCTTCCGACAGTTCAAAAGTCTGCCGCAGACGCCATTTGTGCTTAACTAAGATGTGGTTTAAAAAGAATAGGATTCATACAACACATTGATAATTCACCTTGATTTGTTAAAAAGCTTGAGTGCTTTGCCAAGTGGTGGCGGAAATTTGCGATCCGTGATTTCCGAGGTTGCGCTGATACATGTAGTATTAGTCAGGTCAGGTGAAATTGGCGATTCATTATCAGGTTCAATCAAATCGAAGAATTTTAAAATTCAAAACACGTAATAACCTCGCTTTACAATAAAACCTTCGAATAAAATTGTTAGTTTTCAAATGACATTAGGAATCATGTCATCAAAAGTAGTAATGATTTGAGAAGATACATACAAACCTTTTTTTATCTCCGGCGAAGGTTTATTTGTTTTTGGATAACTTGTTTATCTATGAATTATTTTCGTTTAAAGATAGACTATTTTTAAAAAAATAGTAATAAATCTCCACATACTTTGGAATATACTGTATATCCATCAAAAACAACAATATGCGTAGTTTGTGTCCAGCCGCGACTGGTTTGATGCTAATTCCAACTTACCAAATGACTATCCCCGCAGCAAACCTTTTTGACGGAGAACGCTTGGTATTTCTGAGCGGCAGCTGGTAGATTTAATTTAGAAATCTGGGAACTTCAAGTTAAAGTGCGGAGGAATTTAACAGATGAGTTTTATCAATATGCATTTGGGTTTGTTGATATACTGTGAAGCTGAATTGTCAATGAAGAAAATACATGTACATGTAGCCGATTTTTATTGCATTTTAGTTTGTACATGTATTACACGTTAGCTTAAAAATAAGTTTCCATTTTTGCACGCTTTCTCAATTATCGTTATAGCAATAAATTTCTTATGTGCATGTACATGTATTTTAAATCCACTCATTCTCGTTATACAAAAGTGATATTGATATCTATAATTTGCTTTTCTGTATAATTCACATGATCGATAATTAACGAGTAACGGTAACGATAACGATAATAACGATAAACTAAAGGTAAAACCTTTTGATAAATTGTGTGTAGAAAAGGCAGATATCTCAAAAAAAATTCACGTATTTCTCTTTTGGGTTTTTATCTAAGTCTAAATATTCAAAGTTCAAAAAGCTTTTACATCGTATTTATGTTGTCTTCATAAATAACGATATCGATATTATATTAAGAGTTTACTTGAACATCAACAATTTTTACGAATAAATTATGATACACGTGGTAAATTAACAATTACGTAAATGAAAAAGGTAGATGTTGAAAACAATAAATACGAAAGAATAATAACAAAGGTGATAAAAAATAAGAATTTTTTTAAAATGTCTGATTATATTACTTCATATCAACTTGGGCAAATTTTTGAGTTATATATTTTTAATTTTATAAGAATTGTAGGAATAAATTGTTGGCGTGTTCCGTAAGTGTAATCTTACTAAGTATTTGTTGAGTTATTATGTATCTGAAGTTACGCTGCCACTAGATGTAAAATCGAAGAAATTGAAAACACATCGTGGTCATATATTACATTTTATATGTTTCATATGAACGTTCTTTCTTCGTATTCGAAAAACCTGGACCAGGGGAAAGGGAGTGTGGTGAATAGGATACATGAATAAAATAATAGAATTATATTAATTATTAATTATATGAATGTTCTTAATTTATCTTGATAATGATGATACAAATATTTATTTGTTTATTTTTTTTTAACATAGATTAAGACGAGGAGATGGTGGACGAGATATAGAAGGTGAAATTAGAGGAATCTCTATTGTTGTTCAATGTAAAAATTATGAAGATAAAATAGGTGTTGGTGTAGTTCGAGATTTAGAAGATAAATATTATTATATATTTTATTTTATTTTAATATTTATTTAATTTATTTTTTAAGGTGTCTTATCACGGTATCCAGAAAACACAATTGGAGTTCTAGTAACATCAAGAATAATAGATGAATTCACTATAGATG